GTACATCCAGTGCATGCACGAGGTGCACACCTTCGTCTCCAGCTGCCCCGGCATCGATGCCGCCACGGCCGCGGAGCTGCTCAACCACCTGCTGGAGTCCATGCCCCTCAGCCAGGGCAGCTGCCCGGACTCGGTGACGGACGCTTTGGCAGATGCCGCCCTCGGGCCCTGGCCAGGCAGCGAGGCGGTGACCCCCGAAGCCTCCCTGGGGGCCCTGGCCCTCCCCGCCCTGGCAGCCTCGCCTGCTCCCAGCGAGGAAACCTGCTCCGACTCGGACGAGGCGGAGGCCGAGCCGGGCCAGACCTCCCCCGCTGGACTGGCCGCTGCCCCGGGGCACAGCCTGCCTTCCCCCGGCCTGCCCAAATCCATGTGGAGACCTTGGTAAGGGAGGAGCAGGAGGCAACACAGACCTACCTAGCCTATGGGGCTACCTACCTACCTGCGGGGCGGGCAGCGCGCGGGGCTGCAGCCAGGGCACTGACCCCTGTCACCGCCTGGCAGGCTAATAGCTCAACACCTTAACATTTCATCCGTGTGTGTGTGTGTGCGTGCGCGTGCGTGTGGGTGGCGTTTTGTAACCTGAGGGGTTGTTATGTGAGAGCTTGGGGAGGGGGTAGGGGGAGGAGGGAGGTGGTTGTTAGTAGTGAAGCGCTTTGGTCGATACACAGCCGTTACTTTATAACCCTGTCTCTTTCTCTCGGCCCTTGTAAGTGGCCCGAATATCACTACCTTTTTCTTTTAAGGAAAAGCCCTAGTGCATTTTAAAATCGTGATGGTTAAACTCCATGAGAAGCTCGAGCTGAGTCTGCATGCAGTTGTAAGTGTTCTAGTGATAGCAGAGATCTCTGAAAGGGGTTGGTGTGGTTAGAGTCTGTCCGCGTAGCAGCCCAAGGGTCTCACCTTCAGTGAAGGAAAACTAGAAACCTGGTTGAATCAGACAAACATTTAAAAGATACTGGTGGCAGGGTGCCTTTTAGAAATTAGTGTATTTTATGCACATTTTGCTTTTAGCACACTTAAGTTTATTGTGACTTTATGTATATTAGGGTGTCAAATGTTTTTTATTTTTAATCTTTAATAAAAAAAGATACTGAACTCACAACTGATGGCATGTATTGTGGAGTGTGATACACTTCTAACTGGTTTAAACAACAAAAAATACAGTTCCCTGTTGTTTACTATTAACAAAAGTATGTGTATATTGTGGAAACAATGCTGGTAATTAAGCACTTGATTCTTGTACTAAGCATTGTTAGCTCAAGTATTGGAATTCAAATGTTTCTTTTGTTTAGTGCTAGAAGATACTTAAGTTATTGCAGTGAGCAAGGTCATACTGGTGCAAGGTTGATCTTAGGCCACTGATTTCTGGGCTAGTTGATCTGGATGCCAGTCTCAAACCTCCTCTACTTGGATCTGCCATCTGACAGTGTTTCCCAGACAGCTACAGTCCTGACTTGAAAAGCACTAGGCAAAGCCTGTCCTGGGGCAGAACTTCACAGGGATTTTAGGTTTGGTGGGTTTTTTGTTTTGGTGGTTTGGAGTTGTTTTGGGGCTTTTTTTGTGGTTGGTCTTTTGGGGTGGTTTGTTTTGGTTTTTTTCCTCTTGAATGCAAAGCTGAATAGTGTGCAATGGATTTGGAAACTACGCTTTAAAATTAAAAAAAAAGTGTTTCTAGGGGACTGGGTGGGGGACCCTCAACATTTTTGTACATGAGGTTTGGCGCCTCCCCTGCTCCTACTTCTGGGAGATGCCAGGTTAGTTATGCTGTGATAAGATGCCTGTCTGAGAGCTGTCATTGTAAAGAGAAAAAGGATTGCAAAGTTGCTTAATACATGGAAGTTCCCAAACATTGAACAAGCAAGAAAGGAAGCAACCTAAGCACCAAGGGATTAGACATGTAACTTTCTTTTGTTAACAAGCCTATGGAATAATAAAAATGGAAACTAAGATACTGTTAAGACCTCTCCTTTGTAATTTTCTTTAAGTTATCTGAGGTGAGTGTTATTAATAAAGGATGGCCATCAGATTTGTTTGGTTCTTCTCATCCCCTTTTGTGCTAAATTCCCTTTGAACTGGGAGGAGAAGGGCAAAAACCAGCTCCGCAGAGGGAGGTGAGAGCTTTTGTAGTGACCTTTCTGCTTTAGGGAGCAGTTAGTGTTTTGAAGTGTAAATGAAGGAGCAGCCTGGGACACTTGCACTAAAAGTAACACCCAACACACAAGATGACCTCTCAGAGTGAGCCTGCACCTTTAATTCCTACACAGGGCCAGGTTTACTTCTAAAAAGTTAAGGTATCACAGTGTTTGATACTTCACTCTCCACTTCTGCTTAATTAGCCCAGGTAACAATACCCCTCCAAGGGAAATTTACACATTGCACAATGTTACCCTGCTACACAGCTCTGTGCTTTTAACATCTAGACAACACCCCTTGTGTAAGGCAGCTCAGGAGGGAGGTAAAGCCACTGCCTGTTTTAGTAACCCCACAGCAGCAGCCCCAGCCCCCAGCAGCTCTGGGCTGCAGACACTTACCTGAGCCAACTTTGTGTGGGACGTCCCGGGATGATCCTGGGCTCAACAACCACTCCGGCCCCTCAGCTGCTGCAAAGACAGGAGGTGCCTTGGCTTGGCTTCATTTCCATGAGATGAAAGACCCCCGGGTTAGGGCTCTTCTATAAGGCTCCTGTGAAAGCAAGTGCAAATCCTGACACTTTGGTGACAGAACCAGCCAAGAGTCAACACAAGAGTGCTGGCTTTGGGTCCGCAGTGGATGGGGGGCTGGCAGCAATGCCAGCTCTACTAAGCAGCACTGCAGCCCTAGTCCTTAACTTCAGAGCTGAAGCTGGCCTTAACCCTTTGCCAGCTCCCCTTTCCCACAGATAATGCTTCAGGTGCTGTTGTGCTCCCCATTCCTGGAGCAGCCCTCACAGGCTGGTGGGCCCACACGTCTCACTGCAGGCCTGGGCACAGCCCATCCCCACAGCTGTGGAAGGGAACAGGCAGAGTGGCTGCAACTTTGCTGGCTGTGGCCACCTAGCCAGCTGCTCTCCCAAGGCCAGGGTGTTAGGAAAAGCCAGAGCAGAGGAATAACGGCCCTCTCCCCTCTACACTTCGCAGTTCAGTATCAGCTGAAAAGAAAAAAACAGGTCAAAGCAGTCCTATTAGGACATTGTTTTTTTAAAAAGTGTCCAAAGCATTTTAGAAATGCATCAGCAATATGGCTTTTTTTTTTTTTTTTTTAAATCAACAAATTAGGTTCACAGAAAGTTTACATCCTCTGATTAGGTGTTGCTGGATTTCTCCATTTGCATTTCTGTACCTTACTGCAAAGGTGTCAGATCTGACACTTCCCTGACAAAGGCAGGAAGAGGTAAGCATTTCAGGGGTGGGACTGGGGAAGGGGAACTGGGGCAAAGGAAGGCTTCCAGCAGCTCTGATGAAAAACCAGTGAAGCCTTTTCAAGTTCTTCTGTATAGAAACTGCCTTCATTCTTTTCCATTCCAAAGTAATACAAACAGACTATCTGATCTGCCAGTGCACTGCCTTGTAAAAGGAGAGAGGAGCAGCCCACTAACAGAAGTGCACTCGTTTGATATGCAGGTGAAGAATAATAGAAAAAAGGGCTCATTTTCCCCTCTTTGCATGTCAGTCACTCACACCTGTTGCAGGGGAAACTGCTCCTTGTTAGACCAGGTCAGCTGGGAAAACTTATAGTCCAAACTTCCTCCTCACCCTTTGGCAACACATACCAGGTCTTTTGTCAGAGTCCTCTGGCCAGGAGGCAAGATGGAGCTTTCAGATTGTCCACACCAACTTTTGTCTTCAATTGTCTCCATGATGGAGGTATCACATAGCCCTCAGAGCTCTCCTCTGCAAATATCAGAATAATAAAAAAGGAGACCAGCCCTCAGGAGTAGGGTTAGGGGATGCATAAAGACATCATCAGGGGGATTTCTGCTAAGCAGACAGTTCATCCCTTTCTGTAACACAGAAAACTTGCATTTCTTACCATCCAAGATGCTGTCATTAGCAGAATGTTATTGAACAAGTCACAGAAAATGAGAAGAGTGCTGGGTTGAATGTTCGTTAATCCTGGCATCCAGAGCCTTGCCACGTTATGGTAACCTCCGTACAGTGATGACACCCCCAAGGGGCCATATAGGCCCTGACATCTCCAGTTGTTGTAGCCCAGTTTCAGGATTCTCCAATCTATGTGCCCATCTTCAAGCACAGCTACATGCACATACACACACAGAGGGCAGGTCCACAGCTCTAACTGCTGCTTCACCCTGCAGGGACATGGGTGCAGACACATGGGCTTTACAAGTCTGATGTTCAGCTTTTGAAACACACTGGGACTTCTGCCCAAGCAGCTCTTGCATTTTGTTTTCAACAAATGCAATTCATTGCACTGCATGTTAAGAAGGCGAAACAGATTAAAAAAAAAAAAATAAATCAAAGGTGCTGCAGAAACTTTAGAACATGAAAATACACCTTACAGCAAGATACTTTAAGCCTAATTTAGCTAAACAAGATGATGAAGACTTTTAATCCAATAAAGTAGAGCTGTAAATTCCAAGAAGAACATGTCAGTCCAAGCTGTTTGAAATGAGAAGGAAAAATACTGAAATTAGACACTGGGAGAAGCCATTAATTTCCTTTCTCTTAATGTCATCAGGTCAAATGAGAATCTTTCCAGAAGCAAATACAGTTGCTTTGGTTACAAACAAAAAATACTTAGTAAACCAGAAATAAACAAGCAATTATATTAGCTGATCCCTTCTGACTTTTGATTTGTTAAGTATAAAATTACCTTAATGTGTGGGTTTTTTAGTTTTTACATTGATCTCAGGCTAAAACATAGGTTGAAAGCATGCTGAGTAGTTTTTATTTGCATCTGGGAAAGTGCAGACCTAGAGCATCTTCAGACACACGTTTGCAGATAGCTTTAGGAATTGCCCAGATTCCCTCACCCTCAGCTGAACTCTGCAAAGCTCCTAGACCATTGAAGCACAAAGCAAAGCAGCATAACTTAAAATCAGCACCAAAGAGACACACTTTAAACTACCCTTGAAATGATGTGCCCACTGAAAGGGAAGGGAAATAGCTTGGCATCACCCAGAGCCTGCCCTTCCACTCAGATAAGCCCTTCAAAATGGGTTTCAGCTGCTACTGTCCCCCTGGGGAAGATCTGCTGTGTTTGGGTCTTGGACAGTCCATGTCAGAGGCACACTAGTAAAACTTCAGAATTTCATCCCCCCTACCCTGAGTTCAGCAGAACCTATCTGTGCCAAACAAAGCCACCATAAGACCCCTTCTACTGTCACCATGTAACAGCCTTTGCAATTGCTGCTCCACAGATTGAGAGGGGGGGGGAAGCCCAGAA